ATGAAAATACATAGTTTTTACGTGGCATTTTTGATCAGAGAAAGGAAAACATGATTTTAAAATATTCCGTTATAGGGATAAAATCTAATGTCAGGGGGTTAGAAGGAAAGGGGTGTAAGGGACTTTGATCGATTCTTCTCATCGACTTTCTCTTTCGTTAACAATTCAGCTGCAAACACATTCCTTGATTCGTGTGACATTCTGGATGCTAGTGATCATACTATGTGGCAGAAATAGCGCAAAATCTGTTTATAAAGCTGTGGCTATCAAAAGAGAAAGTCGATGAAGAGAATCGATCAAAGTCACTTACACCCCTTTCCTTCTAACCCCCTCATGTATGGCCTACTAAAGCAAACCCCGCACATTACCTCTCTTTTTCAAACGGATTTTTTTCACAAAGACCAATGATCAATTTCTCGGTATTTTTTCCCGGAAGTTTAGCAATTTTCCCGATTGTGCACATCTATAGATGTTCGTTAAATCGAATGCGATTGCGGCGAAAGGGTCACTTGGTTAAATGGCTCATGAATACAACAGCAGCATTTTTGCTAGATTATGATGTTTATGCTGCGTTCCAAATCATAAAAAAATGCCTATGTTTTATTTACTTTGATAATTAATGTTCCATTTGGTAAATTCTTCTTTAATTTAACATTTCGAAAATAAATTATAATGTTCTGTTGTCGATCGTCCGATGACCTTTCGGTTTTGCTGAGGGTCCATTTTTTCATGATGAGATAGAAAATATATTTTTACATGTAAATTTTTTCGAGAATCTAAGGAAAGATCTGATTTTCAATATTTTTAGAAAAAATAAAATCGTTTCGGAATTATTTTGTTTTTTTCGGTGCGGTAAACTTTCCCCTAAATTCACCTTGGAACTTATCTCAATCGCCATGAAATTCACAAATACCTTGAAGTTTTATAGTTGAAGATGCTAATTTCAAATAACAGACTAAAGTGGTAATTTTTATACGATAGATGAGGAGATGAAAGTATAGAATTTGTCAAAACTAGCGACAAGAGCTACTCCTGAAATACCTAGGGGTTATCGCTAGAATTCCAATTCCTGCTCCTATTTCTTAAAAGTGACAAGATACCGAAAACCCAGTTCAGTCCAAGGTCATTAAAAACATTTCGAGGACCATTTTTTTCCGGAGAGAGGACGAAGTATATTTTTTTCCTGATTTGTCACCGAAATTCCCGGTGATTTAAAATTTCCGGCATTTTCCGGTTTTCCCGATACCTCGGTTCACTGGTCACCCTGAAACTGTCATCGCGAATCAAACAGTTTGATGATGCTTTTCTAATAGTTGAACAAGAATATAGAAAGTGGCATTGATATCTCACATAAAGTTATTTATGAAAAACAAAATATGTTTCGCGCTATTGGTTGTTTCATTGGCAACAAAACGCGCCGAAACCGTGGCAAAAATTGTCGCCATAGTAATTAAACACCGTTTATTTGTTCCATTAATTGAACAAACCAAATCAATACTTAGATGTATATTGAAGTATATTATTAATCAAGATTTATTTCAAAATCTTTTGAGGCATAATAAAATGCACATCAGAAAGGTACATTTTCTCACTGCTCACTGAACAAAGCCAAACAATCACTACGTGTACACGCTCAAAGAAAAACAGCCAAACTTGCTACACCTTCTTCTTATTCTTTTTCCTCGCATTTCAAGCTTATTGCATACTATTTCATATTAGCTTATTGCGTGCTTTCAACTTAGTGTTCTAGATGCACTGAGAGCTTTCGATGCCTGTACCATTTTTGCATTAGTATAATTGTGTGGCAAGTACAATCATACTATATGTCCAGAGAAGTCGACAAATTTTTCAACCCGAAAAATTCCTAGACCGAACCGACAATCGAACCCAGCCACCTCCAGCATGGTCTTGCTTTATAGCTGCGCCTTTACCGACTGAGCAAAGGGGGGCTATTTTGATTAAAATCCAAATGCAAAAAAACTATGAAATGAAATTCGTGTGTGCCATTTGTGTCTCCCTCCCAAGTTTCTACTACAGATGAATTCTTAATTAATTTATTTTCGATATATACCGTCGGATTTGATAATGAGTCATAAATAGAGGATATTTTGTGAAAAAAAAACAGCACGGCCAACGAGTTTCAATTTTGAACAAATTCATTGAAACATCATTGGATTGACTTCGTCTTATGGATGAAGGTAAAAATAGAATAAGACAAATGGATTCGTTTAGAGCGCTTCTTTTCTTTTTTGAGAAAATTGGGTGTAAATATTTGTCTATAAGAACGCAATTGACCTTGATTTGTAAGTTTTGAACTATCGTACCGAACGTATGATTGATTGGTTTGCTGGAAAATCATAGATATATTTGATGCTTTCTGCTTGATGGACCAAAAATAGTCCCTTAGGCCGAAGTTGTAATCTCCCTTGTTTATAAATTTTGATAGACTATGATTCCATTATGATTATGATGATATTTTGTTATTAGCTTTAGAATAATACAGAGGCGTCACCAGTAATTGCTTTTCACACACATTTTCATACCGGGTGATCCAAGTGTGACGCCCTGAGGGCATAAAATGTTGAGTGTCCAGCCCCTTGCACTCAACAAGACCACTAACCCAGTGGGCTATGTTGCCCCCATCGAAAGTTTACACCACTGCCTGGATAAATAAGAATTTGAACTAGTTAGTTTTGTCGGTCTCGTTGGTTTTTCCTCGTGTGATCATCCAAAAACCCACTTTGGGTTTTGGGCCCGGTAATCGTTTTGTCGGTTCCGTCGCGTAATCGAGTGGAAGTGATTTCGATGGAGGAGGAAAGCAAGGAGCGCGTTTCCGAAATTTTTCTTTGAAGTTCTCTGGACTTCTGTGAAGTTCCCTTATTGTTTCTGAAGTTTTCCTAACTTCTTTTAAGTTCTTTGGACTTTTCTGAAATTATCAGGACTTCTGTAAGATTAATTTTCCTGAAATTCCCAATCCAAATAATTTACGCGGTTCCAAGGTTGCACTGAAGTTCTAGGAATGTTATTGAAATTAATAGGAACAAATCAAGATCTTGAAAGAATAGACTTTCCAAAAAAAATCGGAGCTTCCCTGAAGTTATTGTAACTATCCTAAAGTGCTTGACTTTCCTCTCTCCTTTCTTCAAAATCTCTAAACTTCCCTGAACATCTCCGAACTTCCCTGAAGTTTTTGGAACTTGTCGAATGCCCCAACAATCATTCTGGAGTTTATGGAACTTTCCTGAAGATCATGCAGTTTTCAAGTTTTCGGAACATCTCTTAAATTATCTAGATTTTCCATAGTACCTCAGAATATCTTTAAATTAATTTATCTGCTTAAAAGTTATCTGATCTTCCTTTAATGTGAATAAAATTTTCTCGTGGTCTCGGAACTTCTTTAAAGCTTTTGCAGTTGTCTCAAACTAATGGAACTGCCATGAAATTCTCTGATCTTTGCTGAAGTTTGCATTTTTTTTTCTTAAGATTTCGATATTTCTCTGAAGTTTATTGAACTTTTCTTAAACTGTTCCGGCATTCTCTTGATGGTCCACTAATTTTCAGATGCACTTGGAACTTTGCTGAAGTTTTCGAAAATTTGTTGAGGTTTTTTTCTTGGTTTGTTTTCCGTCGATCTTGTTTTCCGTGCTGAGCACCAATGCTACCGACGCCAGGCCAGGGAGGCAGCTCCCACACCTAAACCATACCTATCGATCCATCATCTCATGAACCGGGGACCAACGGCTTTACTTCCTTTCCAAAGGAAGGCGTGATCAGAGATGTTATGCCTCAGAACATCCCGGCGGCGCCGACTGGGATTGAACCAAGGCCCTTTGGGGTAAGAGGCAATCACGCTTACCACTACATCACCGGCACCGCTGCTGCAATTTACTTGTAGTTAATGAATCTTCCCTGAGGTTTGTTATGTTCCCCGGTGCTCTTGGAGCTTTCCTGAAGTTCTCGCAATTCTTCTGCCCAGAAAATAATGAGACTGTCTTAACCATCTGAAAACTTCCCATTACTCTAGTGCCTTCTGTTAAATTCCTGATATATTTCTGAAGTTTTCTTAAATTCTCAACTCACCCTTAAAGGTCTTTATGCCACCACAAAAGTATGGACTTTCTTTAAGTTTTCGAAATTTTCATGAATTTATTGGAAATGATAAGCTTCCTGAAGCTCTTGAAGATTTTTGTTTGAGGTTCCCACAATTTATCTCAAATTATCTGGACTTCTGTGAAGTTGTCTGGATTTCCTTTATATTCGCTAAATATCCTTGAAATTCTCAGAATTTCTTGAAAGTTCCTGCACCTTCTCTGATGTTAATGAAACCAGTTTCTGAAATATTGCCGAAGATTTCCCAATGTTTCAGTAGTCTGCTGCTCCAAATTTTACATAACTTACCTGATTTTTTTCTGAAATGCCCTGAATTTCAATGAACTTCTATTAAGATCCTGAAAATTTCCGGAAGTTATTGGAACTGCCCACATGACCCCTCATGTGTGTCACGAGGCGGCTGGATTAGTAGAATAATTTAAAGAAAAATCCCTTAACAAACAATATTCAGGCTGGATTAATAATCAAACATGATTAAAATGTGTTCTTCGGCCAACAATCTGCCTTTATCATAGACAATACCTCAGTGGATCATTTTCCGTAATCAGCACTTTTTTGTTATTATAATTGTTTTAACACATTTTAGGCATTCGTGACTTGGCCGGGGTGAGACTAGAACTCGTGTCCTTTGGCGTGAGATGCAAGGATGATTAACACTACGCCAGGCCAGTCCGAGGGGCTTTGCTTGATGGACATTCTGCCATAAACAATAATCATCAGTGATGAACTATTTGTCTTGATTAATAATCTACGAGCTATAGAATAGCAAATTGGTGGAAATTTACTGTATCTCAAATTCCAAAAAAAAACATTTTCTTCTATGATACTAGACATCGAATTTGAAGAATATTGAGTTGTCGAGAATCTGCTCCAAAACAGTCGGTACTTACCAGATACGTAATGAAAGGAATCACAATCAGGCCCAGGCCTCCAATGTAACTTGAAGTACCGATTCCGACTCCTCGAACTTGTGTCGGATACAGCTCTCCGGCGAAGGGATAGATAATGAGGAACGATGCCGAAATCATCGATTTTGACAGGAGATAGAGGAACAGTGTCTCCATCACGGCATCTTCCGGAAGCACTACCGTCGCCACGCAACTGATGCCACTAAAATGTTGAATTATTGTTAATCATAAGATCATCACAGTTCTATTTTCCAACTCAACCTACCCCAGTATCATCAGCATACACATGGGCCACCGACGACCCCAGCGGTCCATTATGATCCAACACACCACGTAGCTTGGAATCTCCACCAGAGAGGATAGGAAGAAGCTCAAATATTGATTTTCTCCCAGCGATGGCCCGTAGTAGCTCAATCCCAGATATACCGTCTCGTTCACGAACCAATTCAACGTGATAAGTATAGTTTTCAGTCTCATGTTTGGCGTCCGGCAGAGATCGAACGCTCCTATCGAAACTTCCTCCTTTTTCACTGTCCTATTCTTCTCTGCCTGGACCCGTTTCTGCAGCTTGTTCTTGAATGCCGCGGGAAACTGTTTTCCATTGACTTTTGCCATTTTTTCGAGGATTTGTAGCGCTTCTTCGAGTTTACCCTTCATCAGCAGCCACCGTGGTGATTCGGGCATCACAAACATATAGAGAAAGTAGAACAGGAATGGAACCGAGGTGTAGAGGGTGAGTTCTACCCAGTCTCGGATCAGGTAGGTTACCCCGGCCAGCATCATCAGCCCGAATGTGTAGAACGTGCACGTCATGACGGTGACGAACGACCGATAGTTCGGTCCTACCAGTTCGAGAGCGATGATGAACGGGATCTGGTACACCGCTGGGATGGTAAGGCCGACGATCACTCTACTGAAGGCCCACATCCAGAAGCTACTGCTGGCAGCGGTGATGAAACTCCCAAACAGCAGGGTTGCCAGACAGCAGAAGTAGGATATTCGTCGTCCGGCGCGGTCATTCAGTAGACCGAACAAATACACCCCGGCCGGTCCTCCGGTGTTCAGGGCCACTAGTCCCAATGTGGGATAAATGTCGTACTCGCAGACTAGATTGTACTGAAATTAAAAAATGGAATGTTAGACGTCTTACTATTCTACACTGGAGTCGCTTTTTACGCGGGTGATACGTCCCGCGTAAAAAAAAACCGCGTAAAAAAAAACCGCGTAAATTCCGGAATCCGCGTAAATTCCGAAATCCGCGTAAAAAAAACCGCGTAAAAAAAAACCGTGTAAAAAAAACCGCGTAAAAAGCGACTCCAGTGTATTTTGATTTCAAATGTTCCCACAAGTCTGATGCTTTGACACCTGTTGAGCGTAAGTACAAGCGGGAGGAGCCCATTCAATATCCCAAACTCATGGAACTTCAAGAAATCTGATACGCTCATTGGAAGCATATTTGCATAACCTGTACACTTGAACTGAACACGTGACGCCGGTTATGTTGACGCAATTCTCTATTTAAAACCACCATGTCATCAGTGCCCGCATTTCCACTGCTTTCGTAAATATGATACGTACGCCACTTTAACAACTCTTCCACCAAAAAGAATAAGTTCTCCACAAGTGAAACCCAACCCACGCACTCTAGATACAGTATTAATCATGAGTTATCTTTTTTCGCTCGTTATAAAACAAATCAATAAGCTGTACTTTATGTGGATCTATCCAAATTGTTCAACTTTGATAAAATACGTGAAATGTATCAGTCTCGATTAAAATTATTACGAACGGGAAAAATCAATGCTTATCGAAGTATAACGTTATACACTGTCGGCCATTACTGTAGTTTCTATTCCCAGCTAAGAACGGATAGGGTTCAGTAGCAACTCACTTTCACCTTGAACTAAGCTTAGAAAATTTCCATCCAGCCAGCAGCGGAAAATAGGCAAAACAGAAACAGGAAAGGACAAACCACCCATCACTCACATCAATCACAATCGATGACATCACGATGCTGCTGTTGTATTCCCAGCCATCGCGACAGTGCTCCACCGGCCAGGAGCTGTTGGGCAGAATCGTCGACGGATCGACATTGTCCGCCAGAATCGCCTTCCAGTCCACTGCATATCGGGTGCATTGGCTGAACTCCTCCAGTCCATCTCGCTGCGGGTTAGAACGAAAGGAAATTGACAATAAGCGTTGGGCAGTAAGTAGGTGAACTAAATGACAACAACGTGGAGATCTGGTGTAACACTTGCTACGAACCGAAACGGTGCTGGTTGCATCATAAGAGGGCATGCGTAGGGTAATTTCGAACTTGTTGCATGTAGGTGCGTTTTGGCATCCTTTCCTATCCCCACCAGTTGCAAGCAATATAATAATTCTTGATGAATTGAGAAAGATATCGACAGTGAGGGCGTAAACGCGATGATCGATTCTCTTTGTCGATTTTTTCTTTTGTTAATAACTCGCTAAAATTAACGGTTCTCGGTGCGTTTGCTGTTGCTTTCGAAAGCCAATATAACCTGTTACAACCCTGCATTGAACAAATTCAACAAAATTGTTTCGCTTAGCTGTAGCAATGCAAAGAGAAAATCGATGAAGAGAATCCATCATCGCTTATACGCCCTTATGCATGCTCACTAGAGTGTTTCAGCGTTATATGGAAAAAAAAGTCAAAGTCTGGAATTTCAAACGCTACCCTCTGGAATGGTAGTTTTGGGGGTCAGAAACACCCTGCCAAAATTTGAAGTCATTTGGTTCACGGGAAACCCTCGCTCAAACGGCTTGAAGTTTGTATAGAGTTCTCCAGATGCACAAAAGTGTGTGTGAGACCGCGCGCTACCTTTTTAAGTATTTGTTATATCGCGATACCTGTTTGGTTCTTCTTCTTTTTGATTATTATATATGGATGTTAGATTTTAGTGTTCGTGAGATTGCGCTTGGAGATCTCTATGGGGAAAATCGACAAAATGTATGGGGGAGCGAGCCACTTTCACATTCGCGGCTCAAGGTGGCGCTGTAGTGTGTCGATTTTCTTCGTGTACAAAATGTAGCATCTAATTTGATAAAATTTACACATAAATCAATTTTACGGATGTTACGGATCTTCTCACGGACCATCTGGTGACTACTCAGAGCCATTGAACAGCTAATGTATCTAAAATCACCATTTAACTACACTCCACATAGTTGCAGAGTAAAATCAAGGTCTACTTTGATCAAATTTACACAGCAATAAATTTATCAGATTTTCCGGATCTTCCAGTGGGTTATGTCGTGACCACTCGGAACAATTGAACCGCTAATATAACAAAAATCACCATTTTACTACATTTCACGTAGTTGCAGAGCAAAATCAAGGCCTACTTTAATCAAATTTACGCAGCAATACATTTTACGGATGTTCCGGATCTTTCGGCGAGCCACTTGGAGCCAGTGAACAGCTAATATATAAAAAATTATAATTTTACTACATTATATACAGTTGCAATGAAAAATAAAGGCATACTTTGATGAAATTTACTTAGCAACCAATTTTACGGATGTTCCAGATCTTTCGGTGGGTCATCTGGTGACCATTTGGAGCCAATGACCAGCTAATATTTCAGAAATCACCATTTTACTGTATTCCATATAATTGCGGAGGAAAATCAAGGCCTACTTTGATCAAATTTACACAGCAATCAATTTTACGGATGTTCCGTATCTACCAGCGGACCATCTGGTGATAACTCGGAGCCATTGAACAGCTAACATATGAAAAATCACCATTTTACAACATTTCTCATTGTTGCAGAGAAAAATCAAGGCCTACTTTGATCGAATTTATGTAGCACTAAATTTTACGGATATTTCGGATCTTCCGGCGGATCATCTGGTGACCACTTGGAGCCATTGAAACGCTTATAGGGTTACGGTATGTAATGTGGGTCTAGTCCTTTCATTCGGCCTATCACGCAAATAAATAATTAATTAAGGAATATTACACAAAAAATAAGGAAAATATTGATCACTGATGATTGATAAATGTGTACCACACACAAATCAATTTATATCACAACATTTCAATACATTTTCAGCTCTCGTAAGTAATAAAACTGGTTGAGAATATCACTCTGTTCGGAGTTTTTAGCCGCCATGACTTCTAAGGTTAAGATGGGAAGGTTGCACTGACGATCATCAAATGGCCTGATTATGGCATTTATTGAATGGAATTACCTGATAATACACACTAGACGTAAAACTCACAGTTACTGTTTGAATATTTTATGTTTATTTTAATTGTTTAACAACGTTTTCACAAGTAAATCATGGACCCAACTTTAGGGACACATTTCTTTTCTATGTTCCTAACTTTGGCCCATGAAATTCATTTGACAGCATATAGCAATAAGAGTAACGTCAACAATGTGGTTTGCATTTGGATGATAAGGAACGAACAGGAAGGGAGATTTTTTCTGCCAAATCTGTATAATGAACATCACAATGTTTTGATTTAGATATTCTGCGGTCGAAAGACGATAAGCGAAATTTTTAATTTTTAATTTTTAACTTGAGTGATTTAATGTAGTTTTCGTAAAATTTTCTCTAAGAAATGTTTTGAGGAATGAAGAGTATTAAGTTAACAGTGATAGTGATAAAAAAAATACATAAGAAAACGTTACCAAGAGCGTTTTTTTTGAGAATCAAACAGGATAGGACGAAGTTGCATCCATAAATAGACCCAATTTGGGGACAATAGACCGATATTACATACATTTCCCTGGTGAGTTTTTGTCTTAAAAAAAGTAAGTTTTTCAACTTTTTGCGGTTCCTGATAGCAAACGACATGATAAGCATATCTAAGCATACCATTTAGCAGTAGAATATCGTTTGCAGGTAAATTAATTGATGAGTTATGATTAAAAACGTAATCTATGGCTGCATATTAGACCGAGGTTAGGGACGTATACCCTATATCTAAAATCATTAATTTACTACATTTCATATAGTTGCAGAGAATAATCAAGGCCTACTTTGATCAAAAATACATAATAATCCAGATTAAGGTTGATCCAGGTCATCGGAAGGCCTTCCGGTGGACGCTCAGTATTTAGAACCAGGTTATGGGTTGATTTTGTTAAGATATTAATCAGCACTACCCATAGATGCCTGTTGCTGTGGATTTTCAGCGCCACCTTGATGTAGACGACTGGTACCTTTTCTTCCCCCGATGGCCTCTCGGAAACCCGGAATAAAACCGGAACCACTTGGCCAATCTGTTCCAATTTCTAGTAGACCAAAATTTCGAACATTTTTCTACTCACTGTGAAAATTTCAACCAATTTCAAGATTAAACAAAAAAGTTATACCTATGCAAACATTGCTATTCGTATACCTGTTCGTAAAAATAAAAACTGCACAAGCGCGTTAGGCCCTCCCCAGAAGTAAAGCAGGTGGTGTTCGTTTGAAACGCTAATAACTTTTAGGAGGTAACTCGGATTCACATCCGGTCTTCAGCCAAGATGTTCCCAATACTTCAAAGGTGCTACATTTTGTACACGAAGAAAATCGACCCACTACAGCGCCACCTTGAGCCGCGAATATATAGTGGCTCTCTCCCCCATACATTTTGTCGATTTTCCCCATACAAACTTCAAGCCGTTTGAGCGAGGGGTTCCCGTGAACCAAATGACTTCAAATTTTGGCAGGGTGTTTCTGACACCCAAAACTACCATTCCAGGGGGTAGCGTTTGAAATCCCAGATTTGACCTATTTTGAAACAGTCTAATGCTCACTGTCATAAGGTGCACAGTGAGACGAAATCAAAAAAGTGGGACATGAGTGTAGCATTTTGATGTCTTGTAATAAATCTCATATAAGAAACTACCGTGGGATCACCATCATCTCGTGTACACCCAAGCTCTTTGAATCTATCATAAACAAAAATATCTTCACTCAAATAAAAAACCGAATAACAACTGCACAAGACGGTTTTTAAGGGTCGTTCAACTACCTCAAACCTACTGGAGTTTGTTCATTTCTCATTAAATGCAATGGATAATGGTAACCAAATTGAGGCTCTTTATACTGACTTCAGCAAAGCTTTTGATAAGCAGGACATTCCCATGTTAATTTTCAAACTGGAAAATCCAGGAATTGAGGTACACTTACCCTGATCAAATCGCCAGAAAATTGTCAGATTTAATGATAAAAAATTTAATTTGATCTATGTTATATCAGGTTCCCCAGGGATCACATCTAGGACCCCTTAGGGTTCTTATATATGCCAACGACATGAAGTTATTTTTAGAAATAGAAAACGAAAATGATTTTAATGTTTTTGCTTAAGAAGGGGAATACACTAAGATAAAAATAAATAACTTTTTTATTTCTCGTTAAAATCGATGAACATCTCTGGAAACACTGTACTAGAGATAAAGTCATTTTAATAAACTTTGTCCAAGACAACAATTTTCTATCTCTCAAGTGGACGAAGATAATCATCAATTTCAACAAGACATTATTTAAGTGTATACGGGGGTATACCCAGACAACCAGAAGTCGTATAACAATGTACAGACAGTATCATAAATTGCTACAGTTTAAGTCAAAATCGCATATAAGAACAGCATAACTCGCATTATATTTAAGTTAAATCGAATAGAATATAAATTTCCGACTTACATGCGATTACTTATTTTTCCGTCGTACTGTATCACAAATTAGATCGGATTACATCGTAAGACTTTTCAAAATGAATTTGTTGTTGCAGATTAAATCGCATAGGATGTTAAATAAACTCGTTTACAATTAAAATAAAATATGGACGTATATGGCCTCCACTTTTGTACCAATAAGCCATTTCTTTGCATTCTATACGAATTGTTTGTTTGTATATATGTTTGTATATCAAGAAAACAGCTTTAAATATACTTGCATTCTGGTTATCTGGGTAGAATAGCTATTGAGTGTAGCATTTTGATGTCTTCTAAAATGTTTCTGGATTTTTTGAGTACTTTATTTGAGTGGTGAAAATTTTTCATAAGGGGTTTTACAAAAAAATTCACCACTCAATTAAAGTACTCAAAAAATAAAGAAAATTTTTACAAGACATCAAAATGCTATACTCAATAGTTTCGTTACAAATGACCATGTCATACTTTTTAGATTTCGTCCCACGGTGCACATTGGCGTAGCTAATGGGGGTACCAAGGGGGCCAGGCCCCCTCCAGAATTATCTAGCAATGCCGTTTGTATTTACAGTCAACTCTCGATATTGAAGGAGCCATCGAGTTGGGATATTGAGTTACGGTGGTCAATTTTGGAAATTTATATAGGAAAAGTGGTTGATCAAGTTTGCGAGAATGTCGAAATAGAGAGAGATCGTGTAAGGGCAAGTTTACTGTACATCATTAAATTAATAGTTTTTTTAAAAGCTCTGTGACTATGGCATGACCAAACACTCCCGGGTAACTAACTCAGTAAGTATTATGAGACCCCTGAACTGTGTCGCAGGGCCGGCATGTTACTGGGTATTCGGAGGGGCTACGTGGACAAAGTATGAAAATACAGAAACATTCACATTTTCTAACACATTTATTGCCCTTTTCTGAAGCGTGTGGGTGTGGGTTTTCACAAATATGTGGCGTGTATGCGAGGGTTTAGAAAATTTAGTACTGTAGAACTCATTGCTGCAGCGGGATCTACTACGGCGTCGTGACTCTGGCGTTGAACCACACGGTTGCTCCTGCTCTACCGTGTGACCGGAAACTTGCGGTGTGGGCTGCAGACAGTGTTGTTGCAGCTTTGGGAGAATGGCGGATCTGGTGGCGTTCATCAGCCACATACGGCTCAGTAGGCATTGCTGGGTCGTTTAGCTGGCAGGCGTCTTCCGTCGTTGACGGCATGGCCACCTTGGCCGAGCCGAGACGGAACCCTCCTTGGCAATTAAGGTCAACGGCCTGAGGGAATCGTCCCTGACTGACGATCGGGGATCATTTGCGATTAGGCTCGGAAGCCATCTTGACTTGAGCCATCTTGAGCCGTGTGAGACCGTTTTATTTACAGTACGAGGTACGAGATACGAGGTCGTGAACGGAGGCAGTCCAACATCCCAGAAACCCCAAAGGGGGGGGGGGGTACACTTAATTGGCACTACACTTTACGGTACCGGTCTACACGGACGCCTGATTAGAAGGGTTTTGTTTTAGAAGATGGCCACTTGCATGCCTTTTGCCGATCATTCTCCATTTTTAATATAAGGCTACGATTTTCCTATCTTTAGTATCGATCGAGTTTTTTGCAGCGGTACTAACCCTCTCGCTGCTGTGTGTTGCCTTCTATCTTTGATATTAAAATACGTGAATTTTCCAAACAACAACAACTCATACACACGAAAATCCATGGATTGTAACCAACTGGTTATAACTCAGATTTTTTATTCGCATTCAAGTCAAACCATTTAGCATTAACTAAACAAATCTACTACCGAGATTTATTGCACAGCACACCTGACAAACATCTCCAAGCTCAATGAACTATAAGCTTCATTCATAAATCATCACATGCAGTAATTAAATCTGAATAACAATGAGTCTCTTGCTGTCTCTCTCTGGATTTAATTGACTACTGAATCATCCAGTAAATGATACCCAACGCACCCACTCAAACACTCACCTCAATCGTTGGAATGCCGTACAGCTTCCGCTCCTCAGAGCTAAAGTTCTGCAACTCGGGGATCTTACACCAGTACTCCTCGGGAACGTCGGTCATGAACAACTGGTTGAAGGCGCAAAACCCGCACGGAATGCACGCCGGAAGACATATCAGCCACAGCAGCAGTTTCTGGTAGCGACCAAACTCTCCAATTGCCGGTAATAGCTCATCCAAATCGAACGGTTCCTGTCATGCGGTTGCATCATCATCATCATCATCACATGGGGGGGAAGAGGACCGCAAATATAAAAGGAAAAAGGATTAGTGACGCTAATCGTTTCGCGGTTTAGTCAACTAGTTTCGAATACGCCATCCGAAAAGCCCTTTATTCACCGCCGGTCAAGAAAGGTAGGTACCCGTTCTTGACAATTTCACAGTGCAAATAGGCCCAACCTCTGGCATGGCACGACACCAGCCATGAAATACGGAAATCGGTCACTTTGTGTCCTTCTATACGCTGGTGCTAGTGCTGGTGGAAGTGGAATGCTAAGTGATACTACATGTGGATCATTTGTTTAAACGGATTAACGCTTATTTGATGCTAAATACGCTGCGTCGAGCTGTAGGGTAGTGCCGATTACGAAACTGCCTACTCCTACACTCGCTGGTCGTCATAACCAGCACCAGCAGAAGTACTGACGTAGGAAGGCTTTGTTTTGCCACATGATATCTACCCCGCCCGAGCTGGAAGAGTGATTTTTTTTGTTCAACGGTATTCTGTTACAGGTGGTGGCATTGAATTTTGCTATAAGTTGATAAAGATATCACAGCTTATAAGTCAATGCCGGGGACTGGTTCTCTAATGCACCGGTGCGCACAGTGGGAAAAATCCGGTATTAGTTGATGTTAAGTGATTTTCTCTAAATGCAAACGGGTGTAGTTCGTAAGCCAACCAAACCCAAGTAACCAACAAACCCGCTAATTCACCTTTTTGCAATATAAGACCAAGGTTAACAAAGGGCATGCTAAGCTTTATATTGCCGCATAGGGGTAAGAGGGGCATAGTGAACAGGTGGGGCATAGTGAGCATCCCGTGCACCAGCTTGGACTTCCGGCCGTTCGGAACATTCGGAAATTTGTGTACGCCAGGTAATACAAAAACGTCTACTAACAATGTCGCTCAAAGAATCATACTTGCATTTTACGGAAACCCATAAAGACGTTAACATTAGCTTAGCTCATTTGCAGCCTTACGGCCAAAAAATTGTAAACTTCTTAGTAAATCAGGATCCCATAATGTTTGTATGATTCACGAAAATGTAAATCTAATGTTGAACAGCCTGAAAAAAGATCGAATATTGTGTGATCACACTATTTATACGGAACAACTTCTTTGCAATTTACAATCTAGAACAGACTTTTGAACGTGCATGAATTGTTACGATACGTCATTATCCGAAACAAAATTATTAGAAAAGTTGGAAGAGAAACAAATATTAGAAATGTCATTTGAACAGTGGACTACGACTGATAGGTGTAATATCATAGAGGTACACTACCGATCAAAACCTCCCTTAGCTCAGTCGGTAAAGGCACAGCTACAAAGCAAGACCATGCTGGAGGTGGCTGGGTTCGATTCTCGGTTCGGTCTAGGAATTTTTCGGGTTGGAAAATTTCTCGACTTCCCTGGGCATAGAAGTATGATTGTACTTGCCACACAATTATACTAATACAAAAATGGTACAGGCATCGAGAGCTCTCAATTAATAACTGTGGAAGTGCATCTAGAACACTAAGTTGAGAGCACGCAATAAGCTAATATGCCATACGCAATAAGCTTGAAATGCAAGGAAGAAGAAGACACTATCGATCATAAGTTTAAGGACACCCCCAAAAAACCATGCAAGTATCCTGATGAATGTGGGCGTCTTAGTGGAATACCTGTATAATGAGAGAGAGAAGGATTAGTATTTTCCATTTAATTCCACTACTTTATTTGCTTATCCTTGACAGATACGCGTATTTCGTCTACAATGTGCAGACTTCTTCAGTGTCTTGTACTAATACTCGACTATTATATTCGAGTATTAGTACAAGACACTGAAGAAGTCTGCACATTGTAGACGAAATACGCGTATCTGTCAAGGATAAGCAAATAAAGTAGTGGAATTAAATGGAAAATACTAATCCTTCTCTCTCTCATCATGCAAGTATGTTTTGTTCAATGATCTCTCATTTTACGTTCAATTTTCGAACTCCAAAAGATATTTGAATGGTATGAATGGTATAGCATAAGTTTTCTACTACTACTTTTATTTCAAAATTTGGCCAACCCAATTCTGAGAAAATCAGTCACGATTCTTCAGAGTAAATTTTGAAAAATATTGTAACTTTGGGTGAACTTTTAGCACACAAAATTTGAAAATTATATTGAATGATTTGCCAACGAAGAAAGTTCTTTTCAATACCTTTCAAATGATCTATAAATTGGTATGATTGGTAATATTGAGTTTAAAACTTTGCCTTCTGAAGATTATTATTTTTTCTTTAGGGCAAAGTTAGACAAATTAATATATCATGATTTAAAAAAAATAAGCAAGCGGAATTCTTTAAAAAAAAAAACAAACAAACACTAGAAGATGGCAAAGTCGTTGTTATTTGCGACTTTTCTGAAAACTACACATTTGTCCTGTAATATGAGGTTCAAAGCTATCATTGAAATAATTCTCAATGTAAAATTCATCCTTCTTCTTCTTCTTCTTCTTGTTCGCATTTCAAGCCTATTGCTTAGCGCACATTAGCTTATTGCGTGCTCTCAACTTAGTGTTTTAAATGCACTTCCACAGTTATTAATAATCGAGAAAATTTCCAACCCGAAAGATTCCCTCCACCGGACCGGGAATCAAACCCGCCGCCCCCGGCTTGGTAATACCGTGCCTTTACTCACTAGACTATGAGGCCCCTAAATTTGAGGCAATTCATCCATTTGTAGTTAATATTCATGCTAATGGTACATTAAACCACTTAAGTTTTGTGGTTATTTCGAACATTTCAAAGCATGACACAGTAACAGTTTCCAACCCAAAATTGTCAAAATCGGAAACGATCCTCAAAAGCAAAAAAAAATCAAATTCATTTTGCCATAAATGATTATTTTGAATATTATCGATTGCAGAGCCTAAAACCACGATATTATCATCAATTCTGCCAAATGTAATAATCTTCCATCGCCCTGAGTGAAAAAAAGCAGCATAACACGTTCCACAACGGTATATTTGTGTAAAACGAAAATAATCATTTCGCATTTGATACTCAAAATCATCTCCACCAAGATGATTATGAATATTTATATGACAACAGAACAGGCGATAATGAATACGCATCTTTGGATGAACAAAAACAATTGTTGGCTTCGATACTCAGCGGTTGCCTTGATCAAAAGTATGTTCTCATGTCAAAATTCAAATTCATGCAGGTGATTGGTTCATCTTTCAAGGTTGCAAATGAACCCAGGATTGGTTCAGCATATTTGAGTGTAGAAGAGATGATTTTCATCAGCACTTTCTTCTTTTTCTTCGCATTTCAAGCTTATTGCATATCGCATATTAGCTTATTGCGTGCTCTCAACTTAGTGTTCTAGATGCACTTCCACAGTTATTAATTGAGAGCTTTCGATGCCTGTACCATTTTTGCATTGGTATAATTGTGTGGCAAGTCCAATCATACTTCTATGCCCAGGGAAGTCGAGAAATTTTCCAACCCGAAAAATTCCTAGACCGGACCGGAAATTGAACCCAGCCACCTCCAGCATGGTCTTGCTTTGTAGCTGCGCCTTTACCGACTGAGCTAAGGGAGGCCAGCACTGATAAGTATAATGTAGAAATTGAATGGTATTTTTTTTAACCTTAACCCGCATACAATTGGAGGCGAGAATGGCAACCAGAGCAAGTTTAGCTAGGCAATACGAGCATTCTATAACTGTATGACTGGCCAAATAGCCGTAAAGAGGATCTTCAAACAAAAATGTCATTTTGTAATATTTCTACGGAGGAATACAAAAAGGCTGATAAGGAATTTGATCCGATTTTTAGGAAAGTGAAACCAATTCCTGGAACTCGAAAATATCATTGCTATATTCCAGTTTCAGTTTCAAGCAACCAAATTGCATACACCCAAAATATTAAATGTATTCAAATGATATGAGTTGTAAAAAAATAAATAATGTTTCTTATCTCACCAATACAAATCTTTAATTTGACAACATCAACGTGTTTCTATTCGGCTGCATCTAAATAGAAACCGGCAAGTATGACAGTTATCATATCTGAGAGTGAATTATTTGTTTTGTTTTATTTAAAATCATTAAAAAAAACATCTCGTTGCTGGACATTACGACTAACATTTGAAAATGGTGTAAAATGTTGAAAATTATTATTACTTTTATTATTAATTCACTTGGGAAAAAAGTTGTTATGTGCAAATTTATTGGAAATAAGGCGCAAAACTCGAATAAATTATTATTTAACATTTTTTTTAATTAACCAAAAAACTAAAAAAAAAATAATATAGATATTTTTTAAGAAAGTTACCAGCCTAAACTCTTCACCAAATTTTATAACATTTCTTCGGTTTTCTTGATAAATTATAATGATTGAAGGGGGGGGGGGTGTTTTGAGATAATCAACGTTTTCCGTTTTTTTTTTAATTAATTTACTTAGCTTTTTATTTAAATGATTTTTTTTTTTCCTTAAACATAATTCAACTACCTACAACTTCTTTTCAGAAGTCAGAAAGAAAGAAGTTTTTTTTCTATGTTGGGGACATAATACCACCGCGACCATTACTTTGATCTATTGTGGTGTATCCTCTTTTTATTTATGCCATAACGTAGCGGTAAGCCACTATTGTTTGAGTAGAAAGAAGTTGATCAGATCAATAGTTTTCAAGTTATGTATTTTTTTTTTTTTAGAAAAAATATAATCATTTTTTTTAATACGCCCTTTTAAAAGTAACTGTGAGGAAAAAAACATTAACAAGAAAAATGCAACCATTGATAGCATTGAACATGTGAGCACTGTTTCATTCAATTTGGAAGGAGTCGAGACAAAATCGACATATTTTTTAGCGTTTTGGGCTGGAAATGCTCTATGGGCATTTTTGAGATCCGGAAATATTTTTCCGAGTTTCTTGAAATGCCTAGGGACCAACTTCAATTATATTTGCAGGGCTGTTACAAGATTTTATTAAATTTGAACCGTGAAATCCACGATTTCACAAAGGAAATCCACGACTTCAAATACTAATCCGCGACGTTTTCATTACCTAAAAATACCATTTGTATACTAGGTAGGTACTACATGGCATTTCAAGATTATTGATATATGTATAGCATATTAGATTTTGACCTGCTCTCAACTTAGTTTTCTTTGAAGTACCTTCACATTTTAATTGAAAGCTTTCTATGCCTGTACCATCCTATGCCCAAGGAAGTAGCGAAATGTTCCAACCCGAAAAATTAATAGACCGGACGGGAAACGAACTCAGTTGCCTCCAGCATGGACTTGCTTTGTAGCTGTGCCTTTACAGACTGAGCTAAAGGAGTATCGTTTGTAACCTAAAAAAATAACAATGTATCATCTTCAGTTATTTGTGTATATGTATGTCCAAACAGATTCAAAGTGCCTATGTGGATCGTGTCCGACCTATTGATATACAAGATGTTATAGGTTCTGAAATCATTCGGGAGATCAGATTATTTTTCTACTAGATAACCCAAGACTAATTTAATACCTGTAGTATCGAAATATGCTCAAACAAATTTGCAGTGTCTATGTGGATCATGCCAACCTATTTCCGTGTATGCCAAATGTTCTAGGATTTCCAAATCGATATTTCGATACTACCAATATTATCCCAGTCTTTGATGATCTAGTAAAACAAATCATCTGAACTGCAGGACGATTTGGAGAACCTAGATCGTCTGGTATACGTGGAAATAATTAAACATTATCCATATACCGTATGCGTGATAATGATTGCACCATCGTACAAATAAGGTTCCCGTTTTACCTGTGCATACAATGCCTTGGTTTTCTTTGCATGCACGTAACCTATAGCTCATACCGTAGTAGGCTGTGTTAGAGTCGGTGTGTAATGAGTCACGCCAAGAGAAAAACAGTTGAACTCGCATCACGGTTTTCGAAGGATTCTCTTTCTTTTCACTTGGCAACAGAGGACTTCTACATCAACTTCAAATGACTTCTAGCGAGAACAAAAAATAGCGGCTGTAGTGAATCATTATATCAGTGATTTTGTCAAATTATCTTATCAAACAATAGTAGAAATTCTCATTACTGATCATTAGCAAACGTATCCCATGACAATTTAATGCTCACTGCGTGTTTATGATCATTTCTTCAATTTTATCTTCAACCTTTTTATTATTTTCTTCAACCTTTCGTGGACCTTTCAGAGCATCGTAATGTTTGTTTACTTTGCACGATAGGTAGCCGGTTTGACAGTTCAATAGGTAGACTTGGCTTCACTCTTGGTGTGACTCATTATACACCGACTCTAGGCTGTGTATAAAAGAAAATGATTTACTTAGTTTGACAGTTGCACCATGACGAAGTGGCAGCGTATTCGTGATTTGTCCCACGCGCAAATGTAGCAAAAAGACATTTCAATCGCCGTGAGAGTGTCCCGGTGGACTGTTAAAAGGGTTTTAGACCGAGAAAAGAAAGGACAACTATCCGCGAAGGTGGCCACAGGTCGTCCGAGGTCAGCTCGGGTTCCGAGGGTTATCGCTGCTATCAAAAGGAAGATTCGGGTGAATCCAGTGCATTAAATAAGGAAAATAGCAAAGGAACACGGGATCAGCGACTTTACGGCACGGAAGATCGTAAAGGAAGATTGCGGGGTGAAGTCGAGGGCACGGAAAAAAACTCACATGATTACCATCCGCATCCAGCAACTACGAGTCGAACGATGCAAGAAACCTTAAACGAAAAAATCCGGTAATCATGTTCACCGACGAGAGCATGTTTACCGTCGATCCCGTATCAAATTCCAGAACCGACCGGTATATTAGTTCTCTTCCGGTAAAAGACGTGGCCGTCGAGCACAAGAACGTGTCTCTTACCAAGCATCCTGCTAGCGTTATGGTGTTTGGATTGGTGGCTTCCGATGGCAAAAAAAATGGACCCGATGTTCATTCCAGAAGACGACAAAGTCACCACGGAGGTCTACATCGGGATTTTAAGTAAGTATGTTCTTCCGTGGATCAAAAAACAGTACGGTCCGAAGCCAAATGTTGTATTTCAACAAGATGGGGCTCCGTGCCACACCTCGACACTATTTTTTTTTTGTTTTTCCTTTTGATTTGTTTTTTCCGTCGATCTTGTTTTCCGTGCTGAGCACCAATGCTACCGACGTGTCAGGAAGGCAGCTCCCACACCTGGACCCTACCTATCGACCCATCAACTCATGAACCGGGGACCAACGGCTTTACTTCCCATCCGAAGGAAGGCGTGATCAGAGATGTTATGCCTCAGAACATCCCGGCGGCGCTGACTGGTATTGAACCCAGGCCTGCTGGGGTGAGAGGTAATCACGCTTACCACTACACCACCGGCGCCGTTGATCTCGACACTATGAATCTGTTTGGATATATTTCGATACTGCAGACTTTATCCCAATCTCGGTTGATTTAGTAGATCAAATTATCTGAACTCCAGGACGATTTAAAGAACCTGGAACATCTGGATTACTCGAAAATAGCATTATTGCAGTCTTGGTTGATCTAGTACATCAAATCAACTGATGTCCGACAATATGCAATTTTCACACTGCCGTACTCTAACGGAACTATCAACTCTATACTTTAATCTCCTCATCTATCGTATAAAAATTACCACTTCAGTCTGTTTTTTTTTTTTTTTTTTTTACCATCCTATTAGCAACTTTCATCAAAATAAAGGCCTTATTATATGAACAACTTTACAGAAGACAGTACGCTGGTAAGGTAGACATTTCTAGGTCAAAATATTTCTTTCCTCCTAATCAGTGATGGAAAAGTTCGCAAAAAATCACTATGACTCGCGAACTTTTCCTTTGGTGAACTTCGTGAAATATCGCGAACTTTTCCAACACTGCTCCTAATTTCCATTCCTGGATCACTGTGCATTGGATAATATCATGTGGATCACTGTGCACTGAAGGCGGATATTTTTTCTTCACCCTGTACATCACACACACACACACACAGGCAGACATTTTTCGTCGAACTGAGTCGAATGGTATATGACACTCGGCCCTCCGGGCCACAGATCGAAAATGTTTTTTCAAGTGATATTATAGCCTTCCGGTACGCCAAGGTGTACGAGAAAGGCAAAAACATACTTCACAACACAAAATCCCATCATCCAATATTATGCAACACTGTTTGGATTATCCAAGCCCACAGTAAGCTCCATAAGTCCATTATTCAACGCTCTGCTTGTTAAAACATAAAACATTATGATCCACATTTGTTCACATAATCCATTTATCATCCCGAGGATCTCAGAAACTCCACCTGCAGTACCCCGCCAAGGTTGCCTCGTTTGCACTGTGAATTGCAGTCTGTTAATTTCCTTTTACGTTCACCACATAATATGCAACGCATTTATCTTCGACCAAATTCACAAAAACAAAATCTTCACTCTCATCCTGACCACACCCAACAACGGGGCAAGAATGCCGCCACCCCAAGGCGATCGTCTTCAAAATAATTTCCCATTGTTTGGGCAAAGCACACACAAGCACACGCGTAATAATATTCAACTCGTTTGTGTAGATTCCGATCTCGTTTCAGCTCTTACTTCAGATTCGATTTTCTCGCGTTCTTCCTCCAGGGGTTCGCTGCCTTTGGCGTCCATTTTCGCGCTCGCTCCTCGAACACAAGTTCCACCTTCCAGACGCACCCGACCAGGTCGAGCTTGATTATTCAATTAAAGTGCTGCACCGGACCGACGACTTGTACCCTTTTGCTTGCCTCTACAGGCCAGTATCGATTGAGTGCAAATTCTAGCGTTAAATTCTCGTGTAAAAACCCCTCTTGGACCGAGAATAACCGCACTCTGAACACAAATCATCTGGTGAATTCGCTCGGAAAACCACAGCCCCAAACAAATAAATGCAGATCACGGAGATATCACTGTTGTGGGCTAAAGCGAATGCAGTCGGAGCGCCTTAGGCCGGAGATCACACGGAAACTGTTACGCAACAACGCGAAAAATGCATTAATTGGAGGCCATATTGATTCTTCAGTAGCCACATGGCCAACGTGGAGGAAAGAATCGCGCACGTTTCCTACCGACAAACTGCGAGCCCCGAACACAACTGACTGGCAGCAAAACTCTGGGAAACCTGCTGGCTAGCTACCTGGGCACTTCTGTTCTGTTCTACGATTGCAACCACGCGAAACGACGTCCGACCGTGAACGACGTTGACCATCGAAGGGATTGCACGGGGAAAATGTTGAACCGAACGACTAATCCAATTACGCCAATCATAACAAAAATATAAACAACGCGCTTTTACGGGGATGGAAAAGCGTGCGCCTGGTACTTCTCTTTGGGACAAAGCAACCGAACGGTCGTCGATTCAGAAGCAAATTTTTCGTATTTATGAACGTCGTCGCGCCAAATCCCCAGCCACGGGTACTAACAAATACGCATGTTCCAGAAAGTGCGCGCGAAAGCCACCACTACTAACGATTTACTGATTTACTTACTACCCTGTTCTCGATCAACATGCACAAAGGCTGACGAAACGGCGCAACATCAGAACAGCAACAGAACGCACTAATGTGCAGCAGTGGGGTCTCAGGGAAAATCTAGATAACAGGTTGTTTTCACGATTTTCTATGAATTACTGAATGCAATACGTGCTGTGTGTGGGAATAGAATGTTCTATCGTCTGGGGAGGGATGCGCATTGATTGACAACAGAGGTGAGTGTTGTTGATCGAGTTGAATGAATGGAAAGATTGATGATCCGAATCAAACTCATCTCATTAAGTGGATATTTAACCCATGTGCTAAGTAGTTACATTACGTTCAATTAACGGATGATTGAGATAATTACCAAATCTGTGCTTCGAATGCAGTGATGCTCGCTAAACCTAGCCCATATCAACAGGTAAGATTAATTCCGATTGATGAACGAGTTTTCGATCAGTTACAGGGTGGGGAAAAATTCATCTTCATTTTATTCATTCAATCTCGATTAGTAATATGCCGATTTTTCCCAGGAATTTGGGAAATTTTCCCGGTTTAGCAATATACATTTGAATTAAGCATAAAGCTGAATGCGATTGAGTCGAAGAGATCACTGGGTAACATGGGTCATTTCTAAGACAACAACATCTTTCCTGGATCCTGAAATTGTCTTTGAAAATTCGCTCAAAACTTTACAGGATTTGTTTTAATTTGTCTCAAGCATTTCCTTTAGAATCATTTGCATTCGCAGAGATTTTTTCATAATTCATCTAAAGTAAATTTGAAAATCGTTCTGGGAGTCCCTTGAAAATGTCTGTATAATAGTCCACAAATTTTTGAAATTCGTACTTACATTTTCTTGAATTTCAAACAAGAATTAACTTAAGCTAGTTTCTCTTGAATTCTCGGAATTCTCCACAGAATTCTCCACCAACAATTGAAAAGGGCCTATCAGCTTTTATGAGCAAAACTTGAAATCCCCTTTCCCTGCCAACACCATCGGGCAAAGGAAATTCTCCCGTCGAGAATTGTCTTCAATTTTTACTCAGAATTATCTTGGAGTTCACTTCTAAATTCCCTGGAAATTCTTTCCGAAATGCGCTTGAAAGTTCATAGGAATTTCTTTAAAAATCTTCGCAAAATTCAACTTTAACTTTTTTATTTGTCGATGGATGTAACTAAACCTTTCGTGAATAGATGCGTCCATCGAAGCTACTAGATAAAATGTGCTGCAAAAAACTTGAAAAATATGTTTTTGAAAATTTTTCTTGCAATACTTACGTTTTCTGTACCCTGTGGTCAATTTGACCCCAAATTCAAATTTCCGTACACACTTATAAATAACTAAGTTTACACGTGACGGAATCCATCTTGTATGTATGTATGTAAGGTAGCACCCATCCCTTCAAAGATCTTGTCTTGCAAGCAGCTCCACTTAATAGCAAGATCAGTTTGAGTTACCGATCTGAATTCACAATATCGCTGTATGAAGGGCCAAAAACGGAGGTATGGACCCGTAAGCAGAGACACTTACACGAAATCCGGTATCTCGGGAACTTTAAGAACTTTCAGAAGAATTTCAACAACTGCTGGAATTGTGAGAGCTCTTGAAAAATCTGCAACGCATGAAACCATCAGAATTCCAGAAGCTATTCAGAAATTATAGTACTTCGGGAGCTCCAAAGACCATCAACATCTGCAGGACTTTGTTGGGATTCCTGGAAATTCCAGAACCTAAGCAGTCTTGACAGCCTCTGAGAACTTCAAGAAATTCGGTACTCTGAGATTTTCATTAGGTCCAATAGTTAAGGTTCCTCAGAACTAAGGGAACTTCTTTATCTCGGACTACTCTAAGAATTACAGAGAACTCCCAGCAACCTGGTAATGTTATCTTCAGCAAAAGGAAGTACTTTTCGAACACTAGGAGCTTCTGTAATTTCAGCAAGTTTTAGAACTAATAAATTCCGGTCCGATGAAAACTTTCAGAACATCCAGCTGCTCTCAGAGTTCCAAATGATTCTGGTAATCAAGCAACGAATTTCTATCTATTGTTTTATGACTGCAAGATCTGTAGAGCTTCCGGAACATAAAGAACCGTGGAAACTCTAAGAACTCTTGCACAAATTTTGAACTTCAATTAACATCAGATGTTCTCAAGCAAGAATTCCCAGAACTTCGAAAATGTCTGGAGCTCCAAAAATGGCCTCCAGATTAATCCTAGGTATTGTAATATTCTGTGGATTTTCAAAACTTCTGAAAGCTCCAGAAACTTCACAATATCGGGCAACTAATAGAACTCTTGAGAACTCAAAGAAATTGTGGTAATCTATGGCAACCAGAATTGTAGAGCTGTTGAATCAAGAACATCTTCTTCAGTGGCTTATTTCTCACAATTCATGGCGATCATGTATTACTGAGAGTTTTCAGATTTCAAAGTGACTCCAAGATTTCGAGGAATATCAAGAACCTAAAAAATCTCGACACACTAGTGGCTCCAGGAAATCGCTTGGTATCTCAAAAGCTGCCAGAATTGTGAGAGCTCTCCAAAATTCCCCAACTCCTGAAACCATTCCAGTACTTGCAAGCTCCCAGAACACTAAAAGCTGCTCGAATTTGTACAGTTCCTGGAAATTCTAGAACTTAACCAGTCTTGTGAACCTTTGAGAACATCAAGAAACTCGGTACTCAGGGATCTCGATCTCAAATTTTAGAATTCTAGAGAACTCCAAGCAGAAGCTGTAGATACCCTCCAAACTCTAGGAGCTGCGGTAATTTCAGCAAACTTTATAACTAAGAAATTCCGGTCTGATGATAGTTTTAAAAACATCCAGGTACTCTCAGAGCTTCAAGAGATTCTGAAAATCCAGCAAAGCAAGCTCCAAAAAAAATCTGTTACTCTACAACTGAAAGATCTGTAGAACTACCGGAACCTTTAAGTACTTCAAGAACACCTGCTTCAGATACATATTTCTCACAATTCGTGGAGATGTCGGATCACCTGGAGTTTTCTGATTTTGGGATGGCTTTGGAACTCCTTATTCTCTCGATATAATTAGGGAACTCTCCGAACTCCAATAACTCAGAATTTCTGGAAATATCAAGAACCCCAAACATCTCGAAACACTAGTGGCTCCAGAAAATCGCTTGGTGTCTCTAAAACTGCCAGAATTGTGAGAGCTCTCCAAAATTCCCCAACTTCTGAAACCATTCCAGTACTTGGAAGCTCCCAGAACACTAAAACCTGTTCGAATTTGTAAAGTTCCTGGAAATTCTAGAACTTAACCAGCCTTGGAAACCTCTGAGAACATCAAGAAATTCGGTACTCAGGGATCTTGATCTCAACTTTTAGAATTCTAGCGAATTCCAAGCAGAAACTGGATATACTCTCCGAACTCTAGGAGCTTCGGTAATTTCAGCAAACTTTAGAACTAAGAAATTCCGGTCTGATGATAGTTTTAAAAAACAACACAGAGCTTCTGGAAATCCAGCAACGGAAGCTCCAAAAAATCTGTTACGACTGAAAGATCTGTAGAATTTTGGAAACATGCAGAATCGTAGAAAATCTCAAAACTTGACCGGATTTTTTTTTATGAACCTCCGATATTGTCATAATGTACACGACTAAATTGTCTATAGAATTCAATAAACATTATAAACAGCAAAAACTCCCAAAACTTCAGGAATGTCTGGAACTTCAAAAATGAACTCCTGATTAATCTTAGATAGTACAATATTCTGAGGATAAACTGAGGATTGAACTTTTAAGGAATCTCCATAAACTTTTTCATCTCGAGCAACTCTTAGAACTCTTGTCAACTCAAAAAATTGTGGTACTCTATGACTACCAGAATTTCAGAGCTTTTGGACCTTTAAGTACTGCAAGAACATCAGCTTCAGTTATTTATGTCTCAAAATTCATGGAGTTCTTAAATCACCGGAAGTTTCAGAATTCGGAATTTCTTTGGAGCTCCTGATTCTCTCGATATATTTAGAGAACTCTCCAAGCTCCAAAAAACTCCCAGATTTCCAGAAATAACTAGAATATTGGAACACTAGTGGCTCCAGGAAAGCGCTTGATATTACAAAAACTGCAGGAGTTGTGAGAGCTCTCGAAAATTCCAATACTCCAGAAACCATGCAAATTATAGGAACATGCGAAAAACTGCATGAATTTGTAGAGTTCTTGGGAATTCTAGAACATAATTAGCACAGACAAACAGACGTAACTCTTCATTGTGTATCTTCGTTCACGCATTTAACTGTTGATTTGAACATTATCAGTTGCGCGAACGACTCGCCGCAGTGCTGGCATCGGATCACTTTGACGTTTCTATACATTCTATAGAACTTTTATGCAATATTCTTTGCGAGTTAGCGAACAAGCTTGTTTTCCGCGAGAAGCCAGAGAGATGTCGTTACTGAGGTCCTATGTTTTGAGATACTATGTTTTCAAGAACAACTTTTTCAAAGAGTTACGTCTGTTTGTCTGTGTAAGTAGTATTGGAAATCTCTGGGGACTTCAAGAAATGTGGTACTTTGAAACTTTTTCAAAAGTTCCAATTACTCTCAGCACCGTAGGAACTTCTTGATCTCAACTTTTAGAATTCTTGAGAACTCCAAGTAGTCTGGAGTTGAAGTCTTCCCAAACGTCATGACTAACAATAAAATGGGTTTACGAGAAAAATAAAGTAAAGATCTCACCCGATATGTTGCAAAGCAATCCATGACATAACGATGATTTCGAAGAGCTC